ACTTAGCAAGACCTCAACAAATGGTGGCCTTTGAGTCAACAGACCTCCTGTTCTTGTGGAAGGTGCTAGGACCTTTGCCTGTGCTCTGGCCTTCTGAAGTATCAGAAGTAAGTCAGAAGCCAGGACAAATGAAAACAAGTGAGTATTCTAGCTGAATAAGTTAGTATTCTAGCTAACTAAGAAGAGAACGGCTGATAGTGATGAACAAAACAAACCCCCTAGAAATTCAATCCTGGGGGCAAGGCGGCAGGCTGAGTAGGGACAGAGTCACGAAAGGCAGCAAGTTAGCAGAGAGAAAGAGCCAACTGTAGCTGCCCTGATTTCCTGGGAGCCAGTCAACGCACCCGTTAAAGCAAGTCAGTGAAAAACTGATCAAGCAGGGATCAGAATGAAATGATTTGTTACTAAAAGGATGTTCTAGAATACTATGATGCTTTGCACTCTTCAAGGGAATGGTAAGGCACCCGCTGTGTGAAGGGCAGAACGTGCTTTGCACATGCTCTGACTCCTCTCACCTAGAAATGTGTTCTCTGGTTAGTCTGACTCAGAAGACGTCAGTCCACATTCCACCAGGCTCTGTGTCAGACTCAGGGCCAAGTGCTGCAGCACAATGAATAAATGCCCCACCCTGCAAGCCAGAGGGAAAAGCTGAGCGTAAAGCATGGGTGTGAATGCTCCCAGACCCTCTACCATGTGGGCAGAAGGGACAAAATTCTTGGCTACACATTTCTGGCTTATGAGAAGAAAGGTTAGGAAACATCTTCCTTACAGTCTCTGGGGGGTAAATCTGAGGAAGTTGCTGACTTGTTATGGGCTGGAGATGCTGTGCTCACCGTGAGCACAGCTGGATGTCTCAAGGAATCAGAGAGAGCCATGCTTGCCAGAGAGTGCTCCTGAGAGCGGACCAAGTGGAATGAGCTGGAAAAGGTGAGAAAAGAGAAGGAAGGAAAAAGGACAGTGAGAAATAAAGACGAATAGAGGAATTGGAGACTCCAGACCTTCTGTGTTTTTCATAATAGAAAATCAAAGAAAGTCAAAATAAAGCCCATTTTAAACTCTTTCCTTTGTTCCTAAGTCATTTGCTAATTATTTCCCTGGTATCATTTTTAAGAAGAAACTGTATCTCTGACTCTCCCTGTATGTCCTAGCATGGCTTAATTAATACTTGATTGATTGAGAGATTGACTCATTTGAACCCAAAGTGAAATAGAGCTTTTTAATTTTCTTTTCTGCTGGACCTGAAATAGAGCATATAGTAATTAGGAAGGGCCCCTTGTTATCTAGAAGTCCCGGCTACAATGGGCTCTTTGTAACTGAGCACCGGGAAGGTAGGTGATTATTTAGAAGCTGATAAAGACATACACCACTCCCAACTGCTTTCCTGATAATGGGATTTTCATGGTCATTATTTCCCTCTCCAGTGAATTCTGTGGCTGGAGGACCTGACTGGACAGTGCTAGATGGATGGGCAATTATCCTCAAAGTTCAGTTATGATCAGTGCTCCCCTTTTCTACCCTCCATTCTGTTCTTTCTCCCGGTGACCTCATATCCAGGAGGGCTCTCACTTTCTTTTT